GTAGGGTCTTGTGATCAGGGGCTTGAGTTTTGTCCTTTGGCCAGTAGGGAAGCGTTTAAAAGATTTTAAACGGGCATGACATGGTCTGATTTATACTTTTTAAAGATAATTCTGGCTGCTCTGTGGATCCTGGATTATGGGAGAACGACAGTAGAAGCTGGGCGATAAATGAGGAGTCAGGCAAGACGAGACTGGCTCGGACTAGTGTGTATAAGTAGAAATGGAGTAAAGGGGGTGGATTCATGGTATATTTTGGAGAGAGAGCCCACTGGACTAGCCAAGGGTTGGCTGCGGGGTAGATAGAGGATGCACAGAGAGGCCGTAGGCTGCTGCTGCACTGAGGAGACCCTATGATACCCACACTGCAAAGGAGAGATTCCTATCAGTGTGTCCATGCTGGGGATGGTGTGGGAGGTAGAAATGGAAAGAAAAGTGGACCCTTTCTTTCCTAGAGTCTCCTTTGTAGGAAAGGTTTCCGGAGCACTTTCTGTCCCCAAAAGCAAGTGCCTTGTGACACTAAGGGATTTTCACAGAACAGATCTTGCTTTGGGAGAGATTAGAGGGGCCAGGGGAGAAGGAAAACCCAGAGGCTAAGATCAAGTCTCAGCGCCCACAGCCCCCACCTGCGTTTGCAGCCCTGGATTTCAGCTCTAGTGGAGTCCTCCCTGTCCTTCTTGCTGGGGTGGAGAGGGGCATTCGTGAGGTGAAGGGTTGTCCCACAAGAAAGCCCAGGCATCATCTGGGCCTCCATTAGCCACTGATGGTGGAGGCTCACCGGAGGCAGGGAGGCCCTTGGAACAGACTTAGTTCAAAGGAAAGAAGATTCACTCACAAAACAGTGACTTCCCTCTGAAGCCTAGTTATTATTCTAATTAAGCCACCACAAAATCTGTTCTCTTAATAACACCCTGCCCAGGAGGACTCTGCGCTGTTCCATGGAGGGCAGGTTGGACAGGGAGCTGGCTGAGGGTAGGGTGCAGGTCTTCATGCTGGCTGATCACTGGTCCTGGGCAGCAGGAAAGAGCATTATGAGACAGGTGGCAGCAGTCAGGGATCCTGTTGTAGAGGCCCTTCCTTACTATACATTGTCACAGCTCCCTCTGAGGAGCCTTTCAGGTAGGTGCTGGTAGAAAGACTCACTACCTGGCCCAAAGGTATTAACTGGCACCTATGTGGAGAGCAAACCACTGGGCTAAGGGCTTTACGCTGCTCTCATTTATTCTCACCAGCTGATTCTGGCCCAGAGATGTGTTTAGTTTGGCCCTCTCAAAGTGTTTTAAAAATTCTGAGTCATTTGCCAATATTTTAAGTTCAGGAGATTTATGTAAAAATTCAGGTCCAGTTGGCCTTCTCTGGGAGGTGTGTCTTTCCCGTGGTCTCTGATCTAGTGAGGGGTGGAGCTAGGCTTTGAAGCCAGTACCCCTGAATCGAGAGCTCCTGCTTTTATGCTATGGGAGAGCCTGGCTTGGAGGTGCCTGCTTTGCAGGAAATGAACAGAAATGCAATTCCTGGACAGCCCATTGCAGGAGAAATTAGCTGGGTGAATTTATAGTACCTCTCCCCTCCTCTTACCCTACCCGTGGCAGGGCTGGGTTGGCAAGATGTGGGCTATAGTCAGGGTTCTGTTGAAGTCACCTTGGACACTCTCAGACCCCAGATGACAGTGAGGATGGGCTGCTGTGGGTAGTGGAGCATTATTGCCCCGTTTGTTCTACGACCTGGGCCGCTGATTGCACTCTGCTGCACAGTGGCAGGGAGGTCTAAAGGTCAAGAGTGTGGTCTCCTGAGCCAGATTTGCTACAAGCACTAGTCTGGGGCAAGTCACTTAAGCTCTCAGCTTCGTTTTTATCTGCAAAAGGGAAGCAACTGTCATGGTCACTGGCATCGAAGTTCTGTTTGTTCTGAGGGTTTAATGAAGTCCCTGTGTACCAGGACATCCTCCTCCCCTGCTGCAGTGAGTGCTTAGTAATTTTAGTCCTGTTGTTCCAGCCTCCCTGCCTGCCATCCATGCTGCTCACACCACCAGGAGTCTCTCTGTACCTCCACACCCTCTGCAGAGCACTTGTCCACGTACCTTTGGAGCTGGGCAACAAGCAGCCTCAATGAACCTTCCTGTCATCCTGATCCTGCTGTTGGGGAACACTGGGGTGGAGAGAAGCTCCTAGCTGAGGTCAAGTCCAAGGCAGGCGGGACCCCCTGGTCAACTCAGAGGTCTGGATAGTCACGCCCTGCCTAATGCTCCCTGGTCTCTCTGGGCCACAGTAGGAGAAGGGGAACCCCAGGCCTGGCGTGGGCAGACTCGGGGTGGTGACATGGCAGGTAGGATCCCAGGCAGGGTGGGGAGCCTGGCTGGCCTGCAGCAGGGCTGGGCAACAGGGCTTTCTTTCTGTTGACACTGGCTTCTTGTCTTTTGCTACGGGTAGTGAGGCAACTCAGAGTCCAGACTAATAGGAACATGGTGGAAAGCGCTCTGGGCCCCGAGCCCCAGATCTGTTCTCACCTTAGGACTCAGCCTCCGACGAGCTGCGAGACCCAGGGCGTATTAACAAGCCACTCAGTATTCTCCCCTCCAAGTGGGGACAAGAACAGGCTCTGCCACCCTGGACACTCTGCAGGATTAGAGGCACTAGTGGGTAGGAAAGCACTTCCAACAGGCAGGAGCTGACAAAGGCACAAAGGCAGCTCAGCGTGGGCTCAGGGATCAGCCCACGTGGATTCAAATCCCAGTTCAGCCAGTTACTAGCAGGACAAGGCACTGAGCCTCCCCAGTAAGTGAAGCTAATAGCTCACAACTCACCAGGTTGTTAGGAAACAGGAGACAGCGGAGATGGTATGGGTGGAGGAAGCAGCTCAGCGTGGGAGAGCTGCCCTTCTTACCTTAAAGTTAAATACTGCAGTCGAGATAAAGTGGATTTGTAGTATTCTCTGGAGAAGGGCACTGGGAGCGGGAGGGAGCCCAGCCCAGATCCAGTATCCCTGGGCCTGGTGTATCAATGGGACCCAGCTTGGAGCCTCCCTGCCCCCACCCCCATTTCCACACTCTTCTAGCCACTCCTCTCAGATGTGTCCTCAGTGCTGTTCTTGCTGGCTTGTCCTTTAAACCAGATAGCATGGTCCTACTGGAAAAATCAATCTTGTTTCCTCTGCCTTCCCCACCTCAGGCACCCAGCAGGGCACCCATTGCAACTGAGTGGGAGTGGATTCTCTGATGGGCCTGAGTTTCCTCAAGTGGAAGCTGGGGAAGGTTACTAGTTACTGTTCAGTCTGGGCTTTTGACCACCCCCCACCCTGCTGCCCTCCTAGTTACTGTTCAGTCTGGGCTTTTGACCACCCCCGACCCTGCTGCCCTCCCTCTCTGTCTTAGACTCCTGCTCCTCTGAGACTCTGGGCTCAGGAGATAGGAGATGCAGCCTCCTCTCCCCCAACCCCATTCCTCCCTAGGGTGGGTGGAGAGGGGGTGGGGCTGGCTGAGGAGAAGCCTGGGGCAGGGCCTTGTTCTCATTCTTCTGCTTCAGGCGGGTGTGGGGAGGTAGGTACTGGTGATTTTAAGAGAGATTGAAGATTTCCCATTCCGCCTGTGAGTGTAATGGGACCTGCCTTTTGTTGCAGATGGAAGAGAAGAGGCGAAAATACTCCATCAGCAGCGACAACTCCGACACCACTGACAGTAAGACCTTCCATTTGGGTTCCTACAGGGAAAGCATTTGAGTCATCACTGGGCCCTCAGGCCCAGAGTGGGGAAGGCTGCCCCATGGTCTCAGTGTTGACAAAAGCGTGAGCTAGATCAGATCCCTCTGCTCCTAAGAGAGTCCCCACACCACCCTGGCCTCCAGGGTCTTGCTGTCCTCCTTACTTTACTCCCCTTTTCCCTCCAGGTCTCAGCTCCCCTCTGAGCCTTTACATACGTGGCTCTTAGGTTCCTGTCCTTGTGGCCCTACTGTTGTGTCAGAGCCTTATAGGACGTCCCCAGCCAATAGAAAACCTGTCACTATTGTAATTACCTGATAAGTATCATTCCTAACCACTGGTAAGCTCCTTGATAGAAGGGTTATGTCTTATTCACTGCCTTATCTCCAGCTAGATCAGGCACATAATAGGTGTTCAGTAAATATTTGCTGAAGATATTATTGGAGTCTGCCCTTCATGGGATCTTGCTAATAGAATCTCAGAGGTAGACTTATGTATGGGCTGGGGGTGTCATTTGGATGTCTAGGGGGTGGGGGACATTGTCAAGGAGGAAATGGAGTTTAGAGAGCCTTTTCTGAGAGCTTTTCTGTAGTAGCAGAAGGCAGCTCTTCTCAGCTGCCCTAGGAACCTGGGCCTGTATCAGCCAGTTGGAGTAAGGAATTCCATTCTGCCCTGTGGGAGAGACACACTGCCAGGAGTATCCCTCCTCATTTGTGGTATATCCCGGTGGAAGCCCAGGCTAAGGAAGAGGCCATACTGCCAAGGAGGCTGGGCCTGGAGTTCTACAACTCTAGACCTTGGTTTGTTCACATATGTGGTGAGCACCTGGGATTAGGGAGATCTCCAAGGCCTCCTAGAGCTCCCAGAGTTTTGCAACCCACCCCCCAGAACCTGAGGCAGATGAACTAGAATGGTGGGGGTCAGGTCCCAGTCCCTTCTCCTCCAGGTCTCATGTGTGTCCTTTGGGGTCTGTTTGCTCCGCTTGGCTCTGGCGTCTAACCTGGCCAGTCAGTCCTTCCTGCCTGCGGCAAGAGATCACAGCGTCAGGCGCTCTGTGGCTACAACCACGCTGCCTGTGGCCTGGCTCAGCACAGCCAAAAAGAACCGCATCCTCTACTTCTAACTTTATTACAGGCAAAGGAACCCTTGAGGGCGGAGCACCTGCAGGGGTGGGTGTCTGGGCAGCTGAGCCCTGTAGCTGCCTCGGAGTTGGGCCAGGCTGTAGCATGCTCCTTCTCCACCTTTCCTCCACTGTGCCCACCTATGACTGCTGCTCCTTTGACCCATAGGGCTGGAAGCCACAGCCTTGTTGTCCAGTAAGGGCTTAGACCCTCATAATAATTGCTAATGTTTATTAAGGCAGCACCGTGTGCCAGGGACTATGCTAAGACTTTACAGGTATGATATCTAATTCTCACAGTAACCCTTTGAAGATAGTTATTCTCTTACCTCCATTTTATAGAAGAGCAAACTGAGGCTCAGAGAGATTAAGTCGTTTGGCCGGGTGACGAGCAGTTAAGTGGCTGAGCCAGGCTCAAGCCCGGTCCATGGGTCTGCTTTAGAGCACTACTATTCCAGCTGCCCTGTCCTACCTCTGTCTACCCATTTGGCATCACGCCAAGGAGGAAGCAGAGGACCAGAGAGTGCAGAGGATTTGTCATGGGTCACACAGGAAGCTAATGATTAGTCCTAGTCACCGCCTTTTATTTTCCAAGCCCCTTCTAGTTGATGAGTGGAGGAGGCATCATGTCTCCACTCATCATTTGAAAGGCCCAGAGCAGGGACAGTTCACCAGGTGCTCACAGAGGTGTTCACCTCCTGAACATTCAAGCTAGAGCTTTCCTTACAGGCTTCCTGTCCTTGGAACGCAGGTGGATGGTGTTCCTGGCCTTGCAAGAGCTGCTAATGAGCTGTGTTCTCTCTGTAGGTCACACTACATCTGCCTCAAGATGCTCCAAACTGCCCAGCAACACCAAGTCGGGCTGGCCCCGGCAGAACGAAAAGAAGCCCTCAGAGGTGAGTTGTGCAAGTGTCCTGGAGGAAGATGAAGCAGAGGTGGGGAGGTGACAGGAGCAGAGACCTGGGGCGAATGAGGGAGAGTGAGCCTTGCAGATGTGTGGGGGAAGAGCACTCCTGGCAAAGGGCACAGTCATTGCCAAGTGAGGCCGGTGTTGCTAAGTGGAATTGATGGGAGGGGAGAGGGGGTGTCGCTCTCTTAGCCTTGTAGGTTGTTGTAAAGATGTCCCTATTGACCTGGACTAGAAGTTTCTTTCCAGGATTATAAGCAGGATAATGACATAGTCTGATGTTTTAATGAAAGGTCCCAGTGGCTACTGTGAGGAGAAGACGGGAATATGGGGGACAAGGGCAGAAGCAGGAAAGATTCTTTTGCAGTTGATCAGGAGACAAACGATGGTGGCTTAGAGCTTGGTGGAGACAGTGCAGTAAGAAGCAGTGGCATGTGATACACTTTAAAGA